TATATATATATATATATGATAGATCCACTTACTCTAAGACTAAGACTTGATATACTTATTCTCCTTAATCACTCATGTTTCATATTAAATTTTAACAATTTGACTATCAAATTAGAAATTCTTAATGGATAGATTAAGTTGATAAATTTTTAAAAAATTTAAAATTATTTGATACATCATTTTATTAATTCAAATTAAAAGATAATCATAAAAGTATTTTATACATTAATTTGAATATATATAATAAAATATCATATAATTTTCAATTTTTTTTAAAAATTTGTAACTTGATTTATATATTTAAAAAATTTTAATTCAAAGGTTAACTCATTAAAATTTGATGTAAAATATAAATTATTGAGTGATAATTTTGGAGTAAATGATCTATATATATATATATATATATAATTTGGTGAAGATGGGTAAGAACTAGTTGGCAATCAATGGAGAGCTGATTGGTTGGTGGACATTCAAGCTGTCTCCGTTTTGGGATTCATTGTTTTGCTCAATGATCAAGGCCATTATAGCAACTCATGGTGCAGGAAATTAGCTTCATCATGACTACAATCCTTCCCAACTCCAAAGGACTTATTATTATTGCCTTGTCTTTTATCTTTTACTCCAGTCATGAGGATTTTGCTTTTCAGCTCAAAAAACCATTAGCTTCACTGTTAAGATCTCCTTAGTATTATGAAATTGAATCCAAATTGAGTTCACCTTACAATAGTGGAAAGCCTGTGTAAAGAAAATGAATAGGAGAAAACTATGTACTTGAACCACAAATTCTTTGCAAAATCCGGGTTTCATGGGGAAAAAAATATTTTCCTTTAGAGAATGTGCAAAATCAAAAAGTATTTGAACCAGGGTATAGTTATATAAATTTCAATATAATTGTAAGAAAAATACATAACTCCAAACATATAATATATTTTATAAATTTTCCTAATCGTATAGTTAAAGTAATTGAAGTCGGGTAATAAATAGTTCCAATTAAAATGTCATATTCCATGAAGTTAGGTTAATTGACTTAATTCTTTCTTATTCTCTGAAAATTCGTTTGTTTGCAACATGAAAGAAAAAACCTTAGAAAAGTGGAGTCAAATTAATGACGCGGACGTGGTTAGTCGATATAATGCTTACAACCACAAACTTCTTCTTTGTACGAGTGCATCACATCACATAGAATATCACCTTCTTATACTTCAACCAAAAAAAGAAAAAAGAAATAGCATCGGATACTATATAAAGTATTTTAATATTTGAAATCACGCTCTGTTATTTTATTATTTAATATAGGAAGCCAAATCTCAGATCGCCTAATTCTCAAGCGGGTGACCGTAACGCGACAAATAACACTCAAGTCAATTTTTTTTTTTTTTGTGAATAATTTAATTCTAATGATACCTTCCTTCTTTTTATTTTATTATCGAGAAATGATACCTTTCTTTAAAAAAAAAAATATTTGTTTCCATATTTTTTATAAATTATTATTATTTTTTATTATAAAAATAAATATTATGTTCAAGTATATAAATTATATTTAAAATTTAAATAAATAAATATAAAAATTATATATTTTAGATTTATGATAAATAATTTATATTG